TGTGTGTGTGTGTGTGTGTGTGTGTGTGTGTGTGTGTGTGTGTGTGTGGGTGGGTTGTTGCAGTAAAAACACTCGGCTCATGTTGAAAAGCAGGTCTGGGTTTGCTGCTCAGGGCCAAAACATACTCGCTTCTGTCTTTATTTTTGTAACCCGTGCATTGCTTATTTTTATTTCTCTGCCTGTTTGTCAGACGTGATATCCACTAACACATGAACCAAAATTATAATTCTAAAATGATGTAACTGATTAAATGGTAAAAGTAATTTAAATATGGGAATGACGTGATTGAAACATGTGACAACTCTTTTAACTATTAAATATAATATATATAAATAGTTTATCAAAAATAATTATAAAAACATTTTGTATGACATTTTTGACATACTATAATTTTTTCAATAATTGAAAGTTTCAGTAGGCCTAGTTAAAACTTAAATAAAATAATAATAAAAACTTAAATGTTGTATTAGATTTGTATATACTGTTTACAAATTTAATACAAATTTCAAGTTTTTAAATTTTGTAGCAAAGGGCCTCAGGCCCCCAGATCATGTGACCATGAGCGAGGTATTGGGTTCATTCAGACTGCTGGATCTGGCTGCATGCCATCCACTCGCTCTCTGTGTGTGTGTGTGTGAGTGTGTGTGAGGTGTGTCTGTGTGTGTGTGTGTGTGTGTGTGTGTGTCTGTGTGTAAAGTTTCAGTAGGCCTAGTTAAAACTTAAATAAAATAATAATAAAAACTTAAATGTTGTATTAGATTTGTATATACTGTTTACAAATTTAATACAAATTTCAAGTTTTTAAATTTTGTATATTTTAAATATTGTGTATTATATTATATAAAATAGTATATAAAAAAATTAATAAAAACAAAAATGTATGAATTTGTGTTTTTTAATTTTTAATATATATATTTTTATTTTTCAATAATTGTGTGTGCGCCTTTGTATGTTGTTTAGACTGTAAATAAAACAAAAGATTATTGCAATACATTTTACAAATAAATAAATAAATACATTTACATACAAATACATACATATTTTTATTTTTCTGCCTATTTTTCAGATGTGAAGTAACACATGAACCAAACACTATGATTCAATTCTACAATTAGCCCTACATGACAGATTAAATTGTAAAAGTATTTTACTCACTAATTGTGTGCGCTAAATATTTTTATGCATTATATATTGTGTACGGGAAATATTTTTTTTGTAGACTGCAAAAATTATTTTTTTTGAAGTTCTAAATAAATCAGCTATAAATAAAAAAATCTATTGAAATAAAAAGTTATAAATAAAAGATTCCTGGAGTACTATTTCAGTTTTTCTACTTCGAAATGTCACGTTTTATTATTATTTATGAAATTTACAAGCAAATTCTAAATCAAAAGTGTTTCAAAGTAAATAATTTTTGTTAGTGTACAGTAAAAAAGACTTCAGTAAAAAAAGATTATTGGAGTAGAACATACTTTTTCAGTTCTACTCAATTATTTGTGAAAGTTTCCTAGCTTTTTTCATTTAAACCCTACCTATTTGTTCTTTCATTTTTCTTTCTAAATTTATGATGGTGCTATACAGTAGGAAGCTGTCGTAAAGATTATTGGAGTAGAACATACTTTTTCAGTTCTACTCAATTATTTGTGAAAGTTTCCTAGCTTTTTTCATTTAAACCCTACCTATTCTTTCATTTTTCTTTCTAAATTTATGATGGTGCTATACAGTAGGAAGCTGTCTATGTATCACGTGACTCTGTTACTGTGGCCCTTTTGGTCCTTCAGGCTCCTTCTGAACTGTGCTTATTGTAAATAAATGAGTTCCTGTAAAGCAGGCAGTCGCTGGTCAACATGTTTGCGTTTATTTACGATGGTGCCAACTTTTAAAGTCGTCTTCCTTTAGCACAGGAAGTGGTGGCTTCTGCACTGAGCGTGATACTTTGTCACATTATCTCTGCGCTGAAAGTCTGCAGACATGCAGCAGCAGTTGTTGTGGAGAGTGAATTGTAATAATTTGATCGCTGATTGACTCAGAGCGAATCGAAAGTGTGTCAGTGAGGTTTTAAAAGGATAGATCAACTTCAGCGGCAATGCAGTCTGAACTCTGAGTACTGTTTATTGAGCATTAGCAGCTTTTGTGATGTTGTTGCTGAAGTTTTAGAAGTCACTGAAAGCTAATCATTTAACGCTTTAGTTTTATCAGACAGTTTATTAGTATTTGCAGATACATAGCACTTAACAAAGAAATGCATATAATCTGTATTGTCTTTCAGAAGGTTAAGATTTGTTAATGTTTTAGAAAGAAGTTTCTTCTGCTCACCAAGGCTGCATTTATTTGATCAAAAATACAGTAAAAATGTTACTATATTATTATAATGTAAAACAGCTGTTTTCTGTGTGAATATCTGTTAAACTGTAATGTATTCCTGTGATGCGCAGCTGTATTTTCAGCATCATTACTCCAGTCTTCAGTGTCACATGATCTTCAGAAATCAGTATAATATGCTGATTTGCTGCTCAAGAAACATTTCTGATTATCATCAATGTTGAAAACATTAAATATTTTTGTGGAAACTGTGATACATTTTATTTTTCAGGATTCACAGATGAACAGAAAGTTCAAAAGAACAGCATTTATTTGAAATAGAAATCTTTTGCAACATTATAAATGTCTTTACTGTCACTTTTAATCAATTTAATGCATCCTTGATGATTAAAAGTATTAATTTGTTTAAAAAAAAGATTTTAAATTCTCATTATAAATATCAGTCTTTTTGATTCAATGGGAGTTTCTACACATTTCATCATATGTTCAATGTGCTTTTAAAATTATTTTTATATTGGTTCATGCATTGATCAAGCAACAGAGGTCAAGTTTTATAAACATAATCATGTAGAATTATTTTCAAGCTTAAATGTCAAGCTTTAGGTGTTTGCAGTTTATTTGCATTTTGTTTGTCTAGGAAGTGTTTCTGTGTTTATTAGTTCCCTGATGCCTTTAAAGGGACAGTTCACCCAAAAATAAAAATTTTGGCAAGTTGTTCCAAACCTCTATTAGTTTGTTACTTCTGCTGAACTGAAAAAAGATATTTTGAAGAATGTTGGCAACCAAACAGTTGCTGGTCCCCATTGTCTTCCATAGTATGGAAAAAAATACAATGGAAGTCAATGGGGACCAGAAACTCATACAGGTTTTGAACAACTTGAGGGTCAGTAAATTATGACAGTTTTTTTTTATTTTGTTAAACATAAAAGAAGATATTTTGAAGAATGTTGGTAAGCAAATAGTTGATGGTCCCCATTGACTTCCATATTTTTTTTTTTTATCATACTATGGAAGTCAATGGGGACCAACATGCAACACCTCGAGGGTGAAAAAATTCTGTCATCAAGAAGATATTTTGAAGAATGTTGGCAACCAAACAGTTGTTGGTCCCCATTGACATCCATAGTATGGAAAAAAAATACAATGGAAGTCAATGGAGACCACATACTCAAAACAGGTTTGGATCAAATTGAGGGTCAGTAAATGATGACAGTTTATTTTATTTTGTTAAACACAAAAGAATATATTTTGAAGAATGTTGGTAAATGGTTGATGGTCCCCATTGACTTCCATAGATGTTTTTTCTCATAGAAGTCAATGGGGACCATCATGCAACACCTCGATGGTGAAAAAATTCTGTCATCACTTACTATTTCTTGTGTTGAACACCAAAGAAGATATTTTGTTGTTGGTCCCCATTGACTTCCATAGTAAGGAAAAAATACAATGGAAGTCAATGGGGACCAGAAACTCATTCAGGTTTGGAACAACATGAGGGTGAGTAAATGATGACAGAATTGTCATTTTAGGGGTGAACAGTCCTTTTAAGTGTTTAGATGTGATGCACAGCACTAGTTTAAGTTGTTATTAAACTAGTTTCCACGCCGTTGTCCCGCAGGCGACCCGTGTGAAGAGGCTTTACGCTGGCTGGGACGAAGCACTCGGCGGATCTGGATAGACTGACGGTGTGCAGCCGGAGAGCATGACGACGGACGTGGTGATCGTGAAGGAGGGATGGCTCCACAAGCGAGGTGCGTTCACGCTTTAGCACGAATCGATCAGCTCTGATAGCGTGCTGAACATTAGCTTTGAGCGCCTGGAGGCAGAGAGCGAACAGAGGAAGAGCGAATTACATGAGAGAACAGAGCGGCTCAAACGCGGTCCCTTCAGGCTGTTTTCACACACAGACAGCTGAAGCTCCAGTAAACAAGTCACTAACGCATCAAGAGTGCTGACAGAGTTCATGACGAATCAAAGATTCGTTTGATCGCCTGAATCTGGAGTTTCCCTGAAAGGTTTGGGACATTTTGAGTTTATGTTTCTGAACATCTGCACAATCATTTAAAGTCCGCATAATCATAAATTCACCCTATTTACTTTCTGAATACGTGTTACTGAGAATGATTCATAAGTGATGTTATTCAAAAGACAAAATGTGTTGTTAAGATTAGTTAATGCATGAGCTAACATGAACTAAGAATGAGCAATATATTAAAGCATTTAGTAATGTTAGTAAAAGTATAGTTGTTCATGTTAGTTCACAGTGTATTCATTAGCTTTATTGCATTTTAATAATGCATTACTAAATGTCAAAATTATAATAGTAATAATACTACTACTAGTAGTAATAATAATAATACATTTATAAATGTATAATAATTAATATATTGATAAAATACTAATACAAATTATATAAAATTAATAATATACAGTAAATTATTCTAAATTAAATTGCAGGTTATTATAGTTGACACAATGAGCTATATATATATATATATATAATTTTAAAGCATTTGTTAATTTTTGTTGTTGTCAGTATACATATAATTGTTGATGTTCACAGTTCATTAATTAATTTTAATTTAAACAACTTTATTGCATTTTAGTAATGTATTACTAAATATCAAAATACTACTACTACTAATAATAATACATGAATAATAAGTAAATATATTTATTACTTTAATAACTTAATAAAATACTAAGAAAATTAATATAATATAAATGAATTATAATGCTTTAGAAGTATTGTTCATTGGAGGGTTACTGCAGTTAACCAAACTGTAATTAAAATTAAAACCATTAAAAAACATTTTCATTACATGAAATAAAATAAATGTTAACTGAAATAAAATAACTGAAAAAATCTTTTTTATTTTAATTTGGTTTAACTTGATGTACTAAAATAACTTCAACTAAATATAACTAAATAAATATTAATAAATACTTTAGAAACTACAAAAAAATGGAAAAAAAAGTACTACAATTTTAACTAAAATTAAAATGAAAACAGAAAATATAAAAATAAAAATATTAATAAAAATTATAATATTATTTCAATTATACATTGTTAGTTCATGTTAACTAATGTAGCGCACTAATGTTAACAAATTAAACCTTACTGTAAATTTTTACCAACAAAATAATTTTTCATTAAAATTGTAATAACTTGCTCCAGCGTCATTTTGACATTGTCTGCCATATAGAGATGCTTTTCACCATCCGATCAAATCTGCATAAATAAAATCAACTCTTTTTCTCATTGAATGTCCTGTTTCACTCTGAAATACGTCACATCAAGTTAGAAAAATGGGTTACGAGGAGCGTTTCCCCTTTAAATGACTGCTCTAGATGGGGAGGTGATCAAACACTCTTTTGACTCTTTCTGTCAGCGCTGAGGATGTGAGTGTGTGTGTGTGTGTGTGTCTGTCTGTCTGTCTGTGTGTGTGTGTGTGAGTGTGCGTGTGTGCGTGTGTGCGTGCATGCGTGCGTGCGTGCGTGTGTCTGTGTGTGTGTGTTTGTGAACGTACTTCCTGTGGTGATCAGCTACATGTCACAGATGCAGTCAATCAGGGTTGTGTATTGTGATGGAAATGCATGAGAGAGATTTACATGATCAGTTTCAATCTCTCTTGCACTGTTCGCGTCTCATAGAAGCGGCCGCACTGAGAAAATTATTATTTAGATGATTATTTAGCTTGTTCATTCATTGACAATGACATGTAGAAAATTATATGAATGAACACATAAAGTCGGTATTAAATGAAAATTCACTATATTTACTCTTTAATGCATGTTATTAGTCTCATACATGCATATGTTTAATATTTTACTTTTTTACTTTTAATTAATTTAGTTTTAATAATTAAAATAAAAAATGAATACAGATTTTTTTTATTTCAAGTAAAATATTCAAAATATATAAATATTTAAAAAATATTAAAAAAGTTGATCTGCTTCTATATTCATTGAACTATTGGAAATTATATGAATGAACACATGCATTTAAAAAAAGTTGGCATGAAATAAAAATTCACCATATTTATTTTTTTAATGCATGTTATTAGACTTTGCAAGTATTACTTTTAATATATTAATTTTTATAATTAAAATTAAATTTGATACATTTTTTAAAATTTATAATTAAAATATTAAAAATATTACAAAATTAAAATATATATTTTTTTATTATCAATCTTCCAGTGAGACGCTTATTTAGATGATCTGCTTCTTCATTCATTGAACTGTAGGAAATTGAAAGTCGGCAAGAAATGAAAATTCACTATATTTATGTTAATAGTCTTATTGTGAACAATTTATGCATGCATATACTTCATTTTTTCCTTTTTTAATAATTAATACATTTGTAATAATTAAAATAAAAATGGAAAAAAAAAATACATGTTTAATCGAGATATTTAAACATTTTATTTTTATTGTTGACACATGCCAGACTTCTCCAGTCATTTAATTTGCATAAACCCCGCCTCTTTTACAATCAAGATCAGATCCGTCTCCATTATTGAGCGCCACGCCCACATCTCAACATCCAATCAACAATTGATGCATAAAACCATAGAAAACATCTCCCGCTACTTCAGTTTTGTTGTGAATGTTGATTCAGTGACTATCGTGAGAATACGATACGCAGTATTGAATTGACTTGATTGTGTTGAATATTAATGTGCCGATGACTAGTTGAACTTCATAGTAGCTGGTTTGTGTTTTGATTAGCTTAGTTACTTTAGTATATGAGGTGCTTTTAGCAACATTTCCGAATGTTCACACAATTCAGTGCATGCATGTTGAATGAAGTCGTATCACATCTGGCTGCTAAGCAGAGCTGCTGTTTAGAGACACATGTGTGATGGTTTTAGCAGAAGATCACTCGTCTGTGATGTCAGACGGCTGTCTGGTTAACCAGAACAGGAAACTAAGGTTATTTAGATCTCAGCGGCTGATGCAGAAAAATGTGAATGGAAGTGTGTTTTGGCTCTTTGACTTTTCACTGTAAAACCGAACAGTTTAAACGAATTACATGAAATGAGTTTGTTTCACTCAAATGCTACTGAAAGTTCATTGTACATAACAGAACAGAAAAAAAGTTCAAAATTTGATATTAATAAGCGGAACTTAAACTGACTGAGTTGCAGCAGATTTCTAATTCCCAGCATGCTTTGCGTCAGACTGTGTAAGGAGAATAAATGTTGAAATTAAGTGTTATTTTGTGTGTTAGTATAAATAAAGGGGGAGATGTGTTATTGTTTAATGCTCTGTTATTTTGGGTGTTTCTTTTATGTTGAAGTTTTGTAGTGTTACCATCATAGTGCTTGCGGTAGGGCTGGGTGATTTTTCTGATTTTATCGATTAATTAGAATTTAATGTTTTGCCTCGATTTCATTTATTATAAATGAAGGAATCACGATTTTGAATAGAAATAGTACCAAGCTCACAGAATGCGCTTTTGTGTTGACAAAGATGCGACGCAGGCAGTAGAAAAGGAAAAAATGCAGGAAGATGGGAGTTGAGCTTCTTTTAACTTGAGCGCCGTGTTTTTAGAAAGTCGTTTCATTCATGAGACGCTACAAGAGACGCGAGCGCAACAGTCAAACATGGAAAAAACTGTGGAAAAGCTGCGCAATCCAATGGAAACCTGTAAAGAACTACTGTATGTCTGATATTTCATGTTTGCATCATGGTGACAGACTGAAAGCTGCTGTTCACTGTTTTTACACAACATTTAAAGTTAATAATAGTCTACTGGTGTTATACCTTCAGTCGTTTTGAATTACCTTGACTTTTGAGATTTTTTTTAAAGGGGTCATAGGACTCGTTTTCCACAAGTTGATATGATTCTTTAGGGTCTTGATGAAAAGTCTGTAACATAGTTTGGTTAAAATTTCTCAATGGTAGTGTAAAAAACACATTTTTTACCCTGTCAAAAACAGCTCTTTTCAGATCAAGCCGTTTTTGTAGCATTTTCCTTTAAATGTTAATGAGCTCTGCTGACCCCGCCCCTCTCTTCCGAGCTGCTCTCTGAGAGACTGTTTACTTTAGCCGCATTCATCGTGAAACTTGCTAATTAGCACATTATTAGGAAAGGCGATTTGCAAAGATTCATTACAAAACATTATACTCACTTCGTCTGTAGATGAGGCTGGATCACGAATGATTCTCGTGAACATAGACGCATTTATGTAGATCGGGGGCACATTCCCTTCAGAAACAAAAGTAATCCACTGCGTCTTCAGCGGCTCAGATGTCGGGAGTGCATTTTCCTAGTATTATTTCTGAACACGTAATATGTATGACAAGTTTGTGCAAGATGCAGTTGTAGTTCATGCATCTTTTCTGCAAAGATATTTAACGAGTCATTTGTTTAACATTTACATCATGTGTGCTGCACTTGGAATAGAAATTTCTTTAATCAGAGGGTTAATAATGAAAAAGTTACTTGAATCATGTTGTAGTTACATTTTCAAGTTGACTAGTTAAAAATCGAGAATCGGTCAAACGTTGTGAAAAAATCACAATAATATCGCTTATCGCAATTATTTCTGGTGCAATATATCGCACGACAAAAAGTTGTTATCGTGAAAGGCCTAATCAGAAATGTTTCTTGAGCAGCATATTAGAATGATTTCTGGAGGATCATGTGACGCTGAAGACTGGAGTAATGATGCTGAAAATACAGCTTTGATCACAGAAATAAATTACAGTTTAACAGCTATTCACATAGAAAACAGTATTT